ATATTTTTATTCTTAAAAAATGTGTAGATGAGAATATATGAAAAATAAAAAATTGTAAATTCGTCTTACACTTCACTTCTTCAGTGCACTTTTATAGATTCAAAATTTATAAATTTACAGTTATTGTAAAAGTTTTATTTTTTCATAGGTGATAACTGGAACAATAGCGAAGCTGCAAAAAACAATTTGAAACGAAATGGAGCGTTTAATGAACCAAATGCAACTATGGAAGTTGCTCAGCTTATATTGAGTTTATTGCATGCTTGGGGCATTGATCCAGATTTAGATCGTGTTTGTGAAGGAAAGTTAGGTTTATTAAGACCTATGGTTCCCGTTTCATTTGGAGTATTATCTAAAGGAGGTATAAATGAACATAATTTAGCTCATGAAATATGTATCTTCATTTTTCAATCATTGTGTCTGTAGGTTACATGTCGTTATTATTACCAACTTGGCAAACGCAATTGGAACCAATTGGTGAACCTGCGACTCAGTTAGAACAACGCTTACCAGTAGAATTGGTTAGACAAGAAAGACTTACCAGAGCATTCACAGCAAAAGCACATTGGGAACTGTCTACCACATTAACCAGCAATCATTTATTAGCAGTAGTAGCATTAGCATATACTTTAATGTCAATGAATAATGCCACTTTTGTACCTGAACAAGAACGAAATCGAAAAATGCATAGGTCAATAATTACGATTTTTTTTAAATTTTTTAAATAACAGTTTAATAATTAAGAAACGTCATAATGCACTCTTTATATAGGCCTGGCAATAGATCTACAGTTAATTGGAATAAAGCAGAAGAAGAAAATGAAGAAATTTATACGGCACAACAAGCACAGATTAAACAAGGTTGGTCCTTCTTAGCGACTCTACATTGCGTACTTTTGCCCGATAAAGTAGTTTCACAAGGTGGTGCTAAAACATTCAAACGGCCTCAAGTCGAAATGATGGCTCGCAGATGGCAACATCAATGTCTTGAGGTTTGTTAGCACTGAAGTGCATGCCAGAATATATAAAACATACAACATTATGTAAAGTGATACTATTTCAGATCCGCGAAGCTGCCCAGGCATTGTTACTTGCTGAATTAGAGAGAATGGGTCCGAAAGGAAGGAAAGCACTTGTAGATAGTTGGTCGCAATATCTGCCAATGTATAGCACCCAGGAACCTATTGCTCCACAATCACAAAATCAAAGTCCACCAGCGCCTGGTAGTCCAGTTCCTCCATCTGAATCACATCAAGAAGAGGAAGATGAGGAAGAGGAATTGGCAGAAGGTAACTTGCACATGAAATTTATGCATATGATTAATAAACACAATATGAAAGTGCTTATGCTTTATGATTTTGAAAAAATATTCTAATTACTTTACATACTTACATTAGCAGAAATAAATGTAGCTAGGAAACCGTCGAGTGTGGCAGAATTGAAACGAAAACAGACGACGGCAGTTGTATTGTTAGGTGTAATAGGAGCTGAATTTGGGCAAGATGTTACTACCACGAATCAGAGAAGGGATAATGAACAAAGACGAAAGAGTTCAATCGTAGAAGGTTTCGGAATAGGAAATAATAATCTTGCTAGGCACACTAGTATGGCACTTACGCACTTGTTACACGCACCTCATTCTTCGAAATTACCGTTACACACGGCATTACGAAGAGCGGCAATTGATCTCATTGGTAGAGGTTTTACCGTTTGGGAACCATACCTTGATGTATCAAAAGTAAGAAAAGCGTTAACAACTAAGCAATATAACCAACAGAAATTACAATTAAAATATTAAATAGCAGATGAAGCAAAAATGTAATGGTTTCACGTTTCCTAATGTAGGTATTATTGGGACTGCTGGAAATGTGTTGCGATGCTGATAAGTTAGTACCAAATATGACATATGGCCTTCCGCTTACCCCTCAAGCTGATTCGTGTCGTACAGCACGACATGCTTTAACTTTAATAGCTACTGCTCGACCTGCGGCATTCATTACCACGATGGCACGAGAAGTGGCTAGATATAATACATTGCAGCAAAATGCACAAACATTAAATGTAAATATGAATGCGAGCGTTCTGGTTAGGGCGAAACCGGAAATACTTAGGATTGTTGAACAGTTAATTGATAAAATGCAGAGTGAAATGAGTGATCTTTTAGTTGAGGTAGGAACAATTGAAATTAGCATGTACATTAAATATTGTTATACCTCTAATATAATGATTAATATTTATAGGTTATGGATATTATCTTACATTGTCTGGACCCAGGACATCTTAAAACTAAATCATTAAATGACGTATTTCCGGCAGTATGTAGATTTAATCAAGTAAGTTGAGTTATATCAATATTGTTTATACCTTTTCTAAATACTTAGCTTATAACAAAGTATAATACTTGGTATCAGGTAAATCATTGTCCAGCAACGCGCAGGATAGCAGTAGGCAGCCGCAATGGTCAGCTCGCCTTATACGAATTACGAGGAAATGTGAAATGTCAAACAGTGTCTGCACATACAGCATCTGTAACTGCATTAGCATTTTCACCTGAAGGAAAGTTCCTGGTTAGCTATTCTTGTACAGAAAATAAATTATGTTTCTGGCAGGTAAGTTTTTTTAAATTTACAATTATATATTCTTTCACAGTTCCTGTAGCAATCATTAAACAATTTTTAATATTTACAGCAAACAAGTAGCGGTATGTTCGGCCTAGGAAATTCGCAAACACGTTGTGTGAAATCCTATAGTACTGCACCTATTAACGATGTAGCACGACTAAATCCCATGCGACTGGCTCGACTGATATGGATAAATAATCGAACAGTTACATTAATGCTTGCTGATGGATCAGAAACGCGATTCAATGTATAAAATATAGGGGGGAATCCCTTCTATTCCAGTACTGGGTGAATAAAAAAAAAAAAGAACGGTATAGCAAAATGAAATCAGGCTACAACAGAAATATGGAATCACTGTTTTAGGCAAAAGAAATAGCCGAAAGTGCTGTCGTGAACGTTGGTGTACTTATTAGTACTTAATAGTACTAGTGCTAAAATAATCGAATATCGTATCATATGGAGTATGCTCGAGAGAAGTTCATCGTTGCACGACGCAGGATATGGCATAGTGATTATCGTCGAGTATGGTACGAAAAATCTGTTCCTTCTCAATCTATCTCATTTATCTTTTTTTCCATTTATATAATTTAAATATTTCATTTCTTGGTCGCACACGATTGCGTTCTATTTTTGTGTTGCTGTAGCACCAGAGATAGTTTGAATGCCGTCACGCTTTAACAAAAGTATTCTTTTAATTTAGTAATTTAATTGCACTGTCATTTGATTGCTAGCTATGTAGTTAACGAATCTGAATGATTTTATTATAATTTCACAAGTTTAGATCGAGGTAAAATAATATGATAAAACATTTTCATACTGACACACACATACCGCAAAATTTATCAATCATTTCTACATGAGGGTTCGTATACCGTACTGTACATTATGCAATGTTACATTACTGCGTGTGCTGTTCGAAGCTACAATTATATATTCCTGAAACCCCGATATAAAAGTTAAAAGAAAAAGGTTACTGTATGGAACCTCGCGTTGAAAGTACATACATGTGTATATATGCATACCAAGAAAAAAAAAAAAGAAAAAACTGAATTATCGCCCGAAGATTTGTACATATATTACACACTGGCGAATCGTATAGATCAATATTAATAATTTGTATGAAACGTCTTATGTTTAATCTGTTTATGTATAGTTGAACGCTTCAAATGAATTCCTGTTTTACAAATTTTACACGTGTTATTTGTGTCCGTGATTTATATCGCTTATCAAGAATTGAACGTTTCTAAGTCTTAGGGTATGTATCCATCTGAAAGACTTTGACGATAGTTGATCTCGAGAGTATTCTCAAATTGTGACCAGTTCTCTGTGCCAGCACTCTCAATACCGTGTATACTGATAAAGACTCTCGAGAGCAACTCGCGATAGTTTTACTGTCAAATAAACACGTACCCTTATAGAGTTATATGTTGAGATCTGACCGTTAAAGAAACTACTCGATAGTGAATGTTTTGGTACTTAGGAGTAGAAGTCAGGTGACAGTGAAGACGATCGATCACAAGTAAATTCTTGGTACATAAGAACTTAATTTTTGAAGCTGTTATTCGAAATTTCAACATATATTTTGCAACTACCTTACAATTTTTATAAATATTCCACGCGTAAATGATTAGTAATATTTATTTTGTTGTTTAAAGTGAAACGACCGAGGGATTGAAGTTAATCTGTATGTATCATCCATATGTGAAGTATGATTTTGAACTAAGGTGTTTCTTCATTCACCAAAAAATAAGTAATGCGATGAAGAGTATAGATGATATTAAGTTCGTTTAGTGTAATTTATTGTGATTATTATCTCTTGAGAATTTAGCGCAATGTTCTGTGTAAACACATAATGAAGACGTTCGCGTACATGTTTACATTTTAAGAGCCAATGATTCTGTTGTTCCAGTTTTTACAGATACTGTGACAAGTTTAAAAAGGTGAATAATTTGATGTACAACCCCATGTCGTAATTTATTTGTGTTTATTATACAGCGCACAAAATCACGAGTAAACTTTCCAAGTGATGGTGAATTTTTAGATGCAAATGATAAATAACGTTTGGCATTAAAACAAATCTCAGAAACGACGAATTATATTAATTGAATGAAATGTAATGTACGCCTACGTTAAAAATAATTTTTGTTATCGATAATATAATGTGGTTATCAAATCCACTTATCGATAATATTATATTTCTATCGTCTTTTTTAACAATTCAACTTTTCATTGGATTTTGTTTTATATGTACATGTAGTATTTTTAAGTTTAATCTGTAAACCTTTCTATTTGGAATAACAACATTAAAAAACGAAGACTAGAGAGAAATATATTAATCTAGGGCTTATTTATCGATAACAAAAATTTAAGGGATGGCAAATTCACGATTATTGCGAGAAGTAAGAAATGTTAGTACCGCAGGCATTTGTCACGCAGGCGTGTCTACTATCGGTACCAAAACAAAATACTCGTAAAAGAAGCCGAAGGAAAAAGTCGACTTTGCAAAAACGTATGAGGACGACAGGATCGGCTTCTCAATCATAATATCCCATCGCGATAAATTGAATAATTTCTCTGCATTACGTGTATCTTGTATATAAAATCAAACTATGCCTAATTGTACCTATGTAATTATTTATGTGTATATTATTCTTTATCGTGCGTTGCGTATGTCCGAATAAAGTTACATCAAGAAAATGTTTGATAAAAATGGCCATTTTTGTCTATCATTCTCTTGCAGTCAGTAACAGTGATCAGTGATGGATATTCGATATTTCCAGTTTTTAAAAAGAATCGAATTTTAGAAAATTTTGAAACATTCTTACTATTTTCTTAAATTAATAACTTTTTCAAATTTCAATCTAACAATAAAATATAAAATGTGATCGATACAATTAAATTATTCTCAACATTAATCTTGCGAAAAAAAGTGAACTGTCTATGTTTCATTCATATTAAATGAATGAAATTACATCTAAAAGTATCAACCTTTTATTCTACCCTTCAATTGTTTGGACTTTTCAATGATTCAATGTTTTTTATCATTCACTTAAAATATTATAAATAATTCTCTCTCTTGATTCCATCACTAATGGTATTGTGTAAAATGCAAAAAGAAAGTGTACCGCACGTGTTGTTAATCGTTATGCAATAATTAAATGTATTTAAATGTATCCAATGCGAAACGCGTTGCGTTGAAAATTCGATAATATATATACCATGAAGACAAAAATTCGTTTTATCTTAATAAATCTTACGCTGTTATATTAAGTATCAAAAAGAAAAATAATTTATTTGTATTATAAAAAGTACCAAAATATTGTTTTATTAAATTATAAATGTACAGTAGATTTCTCTGATTCATCTTACAGGATTATAATAAAAATACTGAGAATCATTATACAATTGATTAAAAGCTCATTTAAATCAGTAATTCTTTAATTTCTTTTGTTGTAAAGTATCTTCCGAATACATTTTAAATTTGCGTCTAATTAAATTTATATTTAATAAATAGTAAAATATCACATATTATAGATTTATTTTACTTAGCAAATTTGTATTAAATTCCATATTTATTAACTTCCTTGTGTAACATTTTAATCGCGAGAAAGAGAAAAATTGAGTAGATGAAAGGAACAAGGATTTGTGGTAAAACTATTGTTAAAATGTTGTAAAACTATTGTAAAATGTAAAAGTACAGAACATATCTAACATTGTACAGGGCTCCGTATCATAAGAACTGAAATATCAAATTTGAAAAAAATTAATGGTTCTTAGGCGTTCTAATAGTATGTCTAATATTTAGTAAGGAGTGGAAATAATTGCTATCGGGCCTTGAAAACTTTGTCACAGACTCCATATTTTAAATGGAATGGTATTTCAACGGGAGGAACATTAGAATGTAGAACAACTATAGGATTAAACAGTTTTCGATATAAATATAATGGTCAGAATAGTCATTAGTTGCATATTTTATTATAAAAATATTTAATACAATAA